TACTCACAGAAGTAACACCCCATCATATTTACAGTCTCAGGTATTATACAGGGTGTGTACATCAGGGACTGGGAATCTATGGGCATCTTACAATTCTGCCTACCACATTCTCCACTCCTTTATTTATTCACACACCCCGTATTTGTAGAGTGCCTGCCCTGTGCCAGGCACAGTTCCAGGAGTTGGAGCTACAATGGTTAACACGACAAGCTTGGTCCCTTAAAGATTACCATCTAGTGTGGTGAGACAGATGGTAACCAAGGAAACAACGAAAACTATCCATTAGTGATGAATGCTGTGCCGAGAATTAAAATAGGGTAGACTTCAGGTTTAGATGGGGTGGTCAGGAAGGGGCTCTCTGAGGAAGTGCCATTTTAGCTGCTTCATGAGAAGACGGCACAATGAAAAGGTCCATGTGAAGATTGTTTAATACCCACAAGCCCAGAATGAAAGCCCACACCCTGTGGTTCCAGGGTTCCTTCTAATCATATTTAACATATTTAACACAGAAGCCTATTTTCAAACCACACCCTAAACCACTCTGCACAGCGTCTTACTCATTCTACTCTTGGCCCTGGTTGGTTGGTGTAGCTTTGAGCATAATCTCCTAAACTCCCAGATCCCAGGCGGGAGCTGGGCTGTGTGGCATGTCAACAATGGAGATTATGGACACCAGTTCCCACAAACATGCTTCTCTTCTCCCCCTCAGACTTCTCCTGGAGTCGGGCAGAATATTGATGGTGAGGACTCCTGGGTGTAAGATGCATTTCTCCCAATAAATAACAAATACTGCTAGGACAGATTTCTGCTAAAAATATACTCAACTGAATCTCCATTCCAATTTCCTGCTTTAAAGTTACACAACCCAAAGGTTCACTGAGAACTGCTTGGCCCAGGCACAGCGCTCCCCACATCCGCTCTTGGTACACCACTTTTGAAAAGATTTCCAACCCTCATTGGTCAGTTTCATGGTTAAGAACGCAAAGGTGTGGAAAAAAAACCCAACAAAAACCCAAAGGTGTGAGGTTTTGGACCTTGTGTATCACCATGCAGTTGGAACCATCAAGGTGCTCTGAAACATACACTGAACAAACACTTTCCGGGTGTGGACCATGTCCCTACCATCAAGGGACTTCCAGTGTCATGGAGGAGACCAACATGCAGGTGGGCAATGATAATACAGGAGGCTTCCTTTAATGTATTAAATGATTTTTTCAACAAATATTTATTGAGTGCTTACTCTGTGGTAGGCATTGTTATAGGTGCTAGACTTAATATAGCAGTTAAATGGAACAGACATTAATCCCTGTCCTCATCAACCTTATTATATTCTAGAAGAGTATATCATGAAATATATAAGTAAGATGTTGATAGCTAAATAAATTCTGTGAGGGAAAATAAAGAAAAGGGTGCTCAGAAGTATGAGAGGAAGGGGGTGCCCTGGCTCAGTTGGTTAAGCGTCTAACTTCGGCTCAAGTCATGATCCTGTAGTTCATGGGTTCGAGCCCTGCCTCTAGCTTTCTGCAGTCTACACAGAGCCCACTTCGAATCCTCTGCCCTACCCTCTCTCTCTCAAAAATAAACATTAAAAAAAAAAAGAGGGAGAGAAGTATGGGAGGAAGGGAGGTTATTATCACTTTAAAGAGGTGAGGGAAGGGGCACCTGGGTGGCTCAGTAGGTAACGTGTCTGACTTTGGCTCAGGTCATGACATGATCTCACAGTTTGTGAGTTGGAGTCCTGCATTGGGCTCTGTGCTGACATCTTAGAGCCTGGAGCCCACTTCGAGTTCTGTGTCTCCCTCTCTCTCCCGCCCCTTCCCCACCCCCATTCACACTTTGTCTCTCTCTCTCTCTTGAAAATAAATAAACATTAAAGAAAAAAAGAGGTGAGGGAAGACAACACTGAAAAGGTGACACTGGCATGGCCTGGGAGGGATGGGAATGGGGAAGGGTAGGATGGGAACGGGGAATGGTAGGGTCTCGCAGGCCACTGTATGGACTTTCACTTTGACCACATGCACTGGGTAGCCACAAGAGCGTCTTCATCAGGGGACTGGCATGATCACCTCCTTTTTGCTCCCTGCTTGCTATGGTGGAGAGTAAAGAGAAGGGGGTCAAGGGGAAACAGAAAGACAAGTGAGCAAGTTATTACATATTCTAGGTGAGAAATGATGGTGACTTGGACCAGAGTGATAGTTATGGAGGTGGTAGAAATGAAATTTGCTGATGGATTGATTGCATGTGGGGCTGTGGCAGAAAATGTGGAGTCAAGGATGTCTCCAATATTTTTGGTTTAAGCAACTGGAAGAAGGGGGTTGCCATTATTTCCATGGGGAAGATGATGGAAGGAGCAGGTTGGAGGCCAGAGAGACCAAGAGTCTGGTCTGGGGCAGGTTGGGTGTTTGTTGTATGTCAAACGCTTAATGGATGTGTCAAATAGGCATCTGGGTGTGAGACTGGCTTTCAGGAAAGAGAGAGAGAGAGAGAGAGAGAGAGAGAGAGCGCACTAGTGATATAATTTTATAACTTCTAAGCACAGAGATGATGTCTAAAGCCATGAGTTAAAACCAAAAGATGGATGTAGTTAGAGAAGGGAGAAGTCCAGGGCCTCGGCCCAAGGACTTTTCAACCTTAGAGGTCTGAGAGGTGAAGAGATATCAGTCAAGGAGACTGAGGAAGAGTCAGAGAAGTAGGAGGAAAATCAGGAGAGGGTGATCCTGGAAGGCAAGTGAGGAAGTATTTGAGGAAGGATGGAGTGAACAACATTCCATGTGAGAGGAGACAGAATCCAGTGCACTAGTACAAAAGGCTGGCCTAATTTTTAAAATTTATTTTATTTTATTTATTTATTTTTACTATTTTATTATTAAAAATTTTTTTAATGTTTATTTTTGAGAGAGAGACACAGAACGCGAGCAAGGAAGGGGCAGAGAGAGAGGGAGACACAGAATCCAAAGCAGGTTCCAGGCTCAGAGCTGTCAGCATAGAGCCCAACTCCAGGCTCTAACCCACGAACCAGGAGATCATGACCTGAGCTGAAGTCGAACACTCAATCAACTGAGCCACCCAGGTGCCTCAAAAGGCTGGCTTTAGAGAGGAGCACAGACTGCCGGGTAAGAGTAGGGAAGCAGAGTGTCTGAGTACAGAAGCAAATGGGTGGGTAGATGGCAGAGTGCAGGGTCAGGTTCTCTTCTCACTGCTCCACTGCTTACAGTGCTACAGAAAATGAAGCCATCAGCTGAGAGCAGAGGATTGGAGACAGGAAAAAGTACGAAACAGTCATTGGGGAGATTGGGGATGTGGCCTAGAGAAGTGTAGTAGGATGGCTGAACAGCAGCACGGTACTTGTTGGGGCTTGTGGTCAGGAATGTAAAGTGGGGCTTGTCAACATGGTTGTGCATTTTTCCCCAGTCACACTGGGCTGCAGGCAAGGAGCAGGAAGACACTTGGATTGGCCAGGGTTGGGGTCAAATAAATGGAAAGCAGAGCAAGAAAAGAACTACATGATGGAATCCAACTTGGGTGTGGAGGAAATAGAGGACATGGGGGATGAGGAACAGTGAAAAGGAAACAGGATTTGCGAATGGAATGCAGGTCCCAGTCAGGCAGCAGGACCGCTGGGGTTGTGGTTCACTATGAACAAGAAAGTGAGATACTTAAAATCACAATCTGGGAACTGAGAGAGTTGGTATGACAAGGTTTAGTTAGGGGTCAGCAAACATGGCCTATCGGCCAAAGTTGGCCTACTGCCTGTGCTTTACACAGCCTTGAGCTAAAAATAGTCTTTACTTTTTTTTTTTAGTCTTGATTTTTTTAGTCTTAAATTATTTTTTTAGTCTTAAAAAAATTTATTTTTATTTTTATTCCAGTATAGTCAACATATAGTATTACATTAGTTTCAGGTGTACAATATAGTGACTCATCAATTCCATATATTACTCAGTGGTCATCAAGATAGTTTTTATACATTATTTTCTTTTTATTTTTTTCTTAATTATTTTGAAAGAGGGAGTGTGCACATGTGTGGGCTGGGGGAGGGGTGGAGAGGAGAAGAGAATCCCAAGCAGGCTCCTCGCTCTCAGCACAGAGCACAATGTGAGGCTCGATCTCATGAACTGCAAGATCATGACCTGAGCCAAAATCAAGTCGGACACTTAACTGACTGAGCCAACCAGGCATAGTTTTTACTATACAACCCAACATAGTTTTTACATTTTTAAATGTAATACACACACACACACATACATACAAGGGCAATTATTCTTTCGGCAAGAACAATTGCTCTAAGAATTGAAGACATTGCCTCCTGGCCTGCAAAGCCTAGGGTACTTACTATCAAGCCCTTTACAGAAAAAGTTTCCTGACTCTTAGTCTAGACTCTAGGGTATCACCATGGGTGTGAGTAGCTGAGGTAAGGTAGAGGACACAATTGTAAAGGCCAGGTGGCCAGGATATTGGCAGGAATATCTACACGTGTATAGAAACTGCTAATAATTATGACAGTGTTGGAGAGAGTGGCAGGGAGCTAGAACTAACAGTTAAGGAATAAGGGGTTGTGACCTGGGATCTGTAGATGCCTACTGAGGACTGCAAAATAGAGGAACCACATGTAATCTAGTCTGATAGCATGAGGTTCAACATTCAAAGTTAAGGGAGGAGAGAGAGAATGTTCTAGAAGTAGCTGGGGGAAGAGCTAGTCAGTCATTGGTACTCCTCTAGGCACCAGTGGTTTGAGGGATGAATACAGCTACCACTCGACAGAGCTGCAGGGGAAGCAGAGTGCTCAGAGATGGCCTGGGTGACCAAGTTAATGGTGCCTTGAGGAAAGAGCACAAGTGAAGGGGCAGTTAAGTCAGCCCCCACTGGCTGGAAAGACTTTGCAGAGGAAAGCTTTGAGTGGAAGCTTAAAGTATTGGTAGGACTTAGGTAAAAATGGGTGGGACAGGAAGAAGGGAAGGGATACATAGGTGTAGGAAAGCATGATATATTTAAACACTGACCTCAGAAAGGCACAAATGAACTTCAGTACAGCTGGAGGTTCAAGACCAGTGCAATTAGGAGCTTTGGGAGAAGAGCATTATTGTTTCTTCTTTAGTATTTGCATGCTGGGGCTGAAGTAGATTGAGAGCCTCAAGTAGATAGGTAGATGCTCTATAAATGAAAGAAAACCACACAATCAACTTGCAGACTTGTTACTTCCTCACAGGTATAGTAGAAACTGTTTTAAATAAATCTGTATATGGGGATTCACTCATTCATCTCTCAAGCATTTTTTGAGAGTATCTCATCTGCCCAACGCTCTGCCGGGCATTGGGGGTGTAGTGGTGAACAACACAAAAGCTTCCTTCCACTCTCTGAGCTTATAGTCTGCAAGTACTGAAGTGTGATCAGGCTCAGATAGGATGTTACTGGTGCTCACTGCTTTGGCATCTAAACCAGTCTGGGGGCCAGGGAAGAGTCCTGGAGGAAGTGACAATGTGGAGAAATAGGTTGTTGTTAGAACAAGGAATGGGTGGTGGTGGAGAATGTTCCAAGTGAAGTGACAGCACTCATTGGGTTGGAGGTGGGAGAAAGGGCTATTTAAGGCACTGAAGACATGGAGTGTGGTGAAAGATGGAGTCGGAAAGATGATGGGGGTCTAGCCTGGAGTGGGGTCTGCATCCTCAAGAAGCCTCTGGCAAAGTCCAAGAAGGCAGGACCCATGTCTGTCCTGTTCGCTGCCTTGCACCTGCTATCAGGTGCTCACTTCCCATACCTGGCACGTGGTAGGTACATGATAATGGTTTGTGGAAGGAGTGTGTCACTGTGAACCATAGTCTAACGCTCTGAAAAAATTATTAGTTTATCAGTATAAATACCTTCATTATTCTTGTAAACAAAATGACAAATGTGAAAGCATTTTGTAATCTGTAAAACATACCTGATTTAAAGCTATACTATGTTGCAATATGTATAATGTAGTACCTCTTTTGTGCTCCTAACAACTGTTTTTTTTTTTTTTGAGACTCTTATTTACTCAACTCAAAATCCCCAAAACATTGTATTAGAGAAATTATCCAGTCATATGTAGTACAAAAGTAGCTTGATTAGGGAAAAAACCTTCATCAGCCTGATCACTTCCTTTTACCGCTTCCTAAGGTGGCTTCTAGCATATTCACATTGCTTGTTTTCTATGTAGTGAGCATAAACCAACAGAAAGTAATCACGCTTTTCTCCTGGTTCAGAATAGATCCTACCTTGTTCCTCACTGTGTACTCCTCTGTCTTCACCAGGGAATCATCAACTCCTTGGAAACAGGTGGCTTGCATCGTTTATGCCCAACATCCAACATTATGGCTATTAGCTGGTATTTAATACCTACTGGCTACGTTTAATGAATTTATTCTGGAAGTTGGGACTGTTCACAAATACAGTACTAGAGCCTAAATAATTGTATTTAATGCACTTAAATGATCATTGGCTATTATATTACCAAATGTTTCATACACTTTAACTTGAAAGGGAAAAGAATGAAGATGCAGAAATATTGAATTTCATTTTTTCTCCAAATTTTCTAGAGTTCGTCTTGTTTTAGGTCTACCACATAATGAGCAATAACCCATGAGATCATTTTACCATCTTCTTTGATATATAACGCAAAGGTAATAATGTTGAAAAGCTTTTTCTGATATTTAGGCCAGGTTTCCTTTTATTTTATTCCGTCACATCTCTCTGTGGCCTACTAAATAGTTTTCTATCTACGGCATTTAAAAGCTATGCTTGCTCTTATGTTAAGCTCTTTAATTCTGACTTAATTATCATATACACAAACGAGTCTCTTGATCCTGCCCCATAAAACAGTTCCTGTAGCTTCTTAGTACTTGTTGTTCAACTCTGTCTGGCTCTTATTTTGGGGGAGGAGGGTAAGTTTAATTTAGAGTGGCCCAAGCATTTTGGAGAAAGAACTCTGAAGCTAATTTTTAAGTAACCTCTTTTAGAATTTGTAATTTTTTTTTTTTTTGGTCTATGTTTGCATTTCCTAAGTTTTCTTTCTTTACAGTGATACATTTAGTTACATAGAAAAACCTCTTCGCTCCGGTAGAACGAATGAGAGGAAAAGGCTTTTTGTGTGTATGTGTTGTGGGTTCATTGTTCCCGGATGTAGTATTCTGTCATTCATTCACGTGCACCATCCATTTTTACAAAACGTGTAAAAAATTTGTAACAATGTATCCCACTGCTGCTTTCTGATTTTTTTCTGAACTCATCTTAATTTCATACCAAGGGCTTGAGTAATTAGATTCAGTTTAAATGGCTTTCAAGTTCGAGGTATAATAGTTACTGATTAAACATTAAAATTGTTGGTCAAGAGGCACCTGGGTCAGTAGAGCACCCGACTCTTGATCACGGAGTTGTAAGTTCAAGCCCCACGCTGGGTGTGGAGATTACTTAAAAAAATAAAATACTCAGGGGCGCCTGGGTCGGGTCCCTCAGTGGGTTAAGCTTCCAACTGCAGCTCAGGTCATGATCTCCTGGCTCGTGGGTTGGAGCCTGGAGTTGGGCTCTGTGCTGACAGCTCAGAGCCTGGAGCCTGCTTCAGATTTGTCTCCCTCTCTCTCTGCCCCTCTCCTGCTCACACTCTCTCTCAAAAATAAACAAACATTAAAAAAAATTTTTAAATAAAATATTCAAAAAAATTGTTGGCCAGTAATAAAAGGCTGTAGCAAAGGACCTGATAAATTGATTTTTTTTCCACTAACACTCATTTTTCTTGTTTGTGATGTGTGCTGAATGTAAAGCTACCACTCAAGTATTTTCAAACTATGCAAAATCTGTTCTGCTGCAGAGCTTCTGCGCTCTTGCCTCGTTACTCTCTCCAGCCTGTCCCCACCTTTTAGGTCTCAGCTCAAAACTCACCTTCTCTGAGTGTCCCTATTCACCAATCTTGGTCTCACCAACTTTTTTACTTTACCGATATGAAATAAACTTGCTAATTTACTTATTGCGTCCCTCCTCCCACTGCTAGTCCGTCAAGGGTCGGGGCACTATTACTTCCCAGAGGTGAGCGGTGCTGGGCTAGTGATACCTGCTCGATGCGTTTCTGATTAACGGATAAATACGGCATTTTCACTCAGCGGAGACAGGCCATTCCCCAGGCGGAAGGGACCGGCCTGTAACTTTGCATGACTGCGCACAAAACATGCTCAAAATGACCCTATGCAGACGCCTTCTTTCTCGCCAGGCAGAAACCCTGACCCCAATTTCACTTTTCCCACCCCGTTTCGCGCTCGAGGAGTGAGGGGTGAGCGGTCTGAAAACCTCCTCCCTAACGTTTCCCGGCGGAGGCCGGAGGAGGAACCGGCGCGCACGTACTGCACTCGCCGCCACGTCAGCCCGTGCGCGCGACGGTAGCGCGCCTGCGCGCGGAGGACCGCCCCGTACATCCGGGGCCTGGGCGGCGGCGGCGCCGCCGTGCGGGGGTCACGTGGCTCTTTCCTTTCCGTCTCTGGCCGGCTGGGCGCGGGCGACTGCTGGCGAGGCGCGTGGAACCTCGCGCTGGTTCCCTTTCGTCTCTTCTCGCGGCCCGGGCCACCAAGGAGTTCGCTGACGCTGGTGAGCTGAGCCGCCCGCCAAGATGCCGGCCTATTTCCAGAGGCCGGAAAATGCCCTCAAACGCGCCAACGGTGAGTAGGGGATCGGGGCGCGCCGGGCTGGGTCGGCCCGAGGCCTCGGAGGTCGAGGGGCCCGGGCCTCCTTCTCCCTGCTCCGCCTCCCGTCTGCGGCTGCAGAGGTGGTCGATGAGACCTGTCTGCCGCCGTTCCAGCCTGTGGTTGGGCATGGTTTCCCTTCTCGCTCCTACCGACCGCCGTTGGGGGGGGTGGGAGGTGCGGAGCCGGGAACCGTCGCTCTGGGGGGGCCCTTCCTTCCTCCGCCGCTTCCTGCTGCGTCTCAGGGGCCGCGGCCCCGGAGACAGGTCTACCGGGGCCTGGCCTCCTTAACCGCCCCCCCCCCCCACCCCGTCCGCCTCCGCCCGGCTCCCCAGGCCGCCGGGCCCTCGGCTGCTTAGGCCCCGCGCCCCCAGCCGCCATCTGGGAGTGCCGGGGAGGAAGAAACATGGCTCCCTCCCGGGGACAATGCACGCGAGAACCTCGACTCCACCTCCTGCCGGCGCCGGGAGCCGGCCTGTCCCACCTCCCGCCCTCTCGCAGACACCTCCGCCCCCCAAATCCAGTGCCGGGCTTTGCTGGGTCAGGGTCCACTTAGCCTTTTCCCCAGTCACTATAGCTCTGCTTCGGGGACTCTGACCCAATTAACCGGTTGTCTGTTTTTTCCTGGCATTGATTATTCTCAGTCCCAGAGCCTATCCCAAATCACATGAAGTTGGAACATTGTTAAACCTGTAAGAGACTTCAAGTTCTTTCTTAAAGATAACGAAATTGAGGCCTACAGAGAGAATGCTTACCCAAGGTCACTCCGAGAGTTAGTTGTGGAGCCAGGAGACTAGAACCAAGGTCTCTAGACTTCCAGATGAGTTGCTTTTTTTCGCCGCAGCGCTGCTGCCTGCGATTTTTATTTCCATGTGTTTTTATGCCACCGGCCCTTTCGCGAAAAGTTGTGCGTGTCTCGGTCTATTCAAGAGGCATTTATTACGTTCGCATCATGGGGGTGCAATGTATTATGCATGGCTCTGGTCTTTAAAAACTTTTTCGTTTAGAGTTTTTTAAGCCTAATAATTTCTAAGTGAGTAGGTAGTTGATAGTTCTTATTTCAACCCTTCCTGTACCCCAGACAAGTTTTGAGTCTTATCCCATTTTGTAGGTGGATATACTGTGTCTCTTACAGTCCTTATGTTGGTGGAGCTTATTTTGTTAGCTTGTTTGGAAATTCCTCTTGTGGAAATGTCAATTTCAGTCGACACAAAATTGTTAGTGATAATCTGTCAGGGGTAAGGGTGCCTTCCTCACATGGTTATTTTAAAAGCAACAATTTGGGAGGGTGGTAAGAGTGTGAAATAGGATAATGCCACATTCTTTGGAATAGAGTAGAGTAATTGTTCTAAAAATCAGTTAAAAGTACAACTTAGATCTGAGGACTGCTCATTTTAACCAGTGATCTAATGGTTAGGACAGGCAAGAATTAAGGACGTTAATTTATAGGAAAGAAACTCGGTGGAAATGGAGATTTATCACCAGAAAATGAACTGTAGCAAAGTTGGAATTTTTTTCTTACGTTTAGAAACTTAGAAATCTATATTATGGTATGCAAAATGACTTGGACTCAATTGCTACTGTAATTGCTATTGTAGATTTGTTCTACAGTTGTTTGCTTTACCAACAGGCATTTTTCCTTCTAATAGGCTGAAGCACTGTAATCTGGATAGCCTAAGTATTACACATTTGATGTGCTCCGGCCTTGTTGCTTTCATCACTCCTCCCTTTTGAATCCTCGTATGAGTTTACTATTTCAGTAATTCTTTAAATTAAAAGGGTTATCTCCTGTGTAACGAATCTTAAACCTCTTTTTCACGTTTTCTAAGTTGAAATAGCTTTGACTCATGAAGGGCAAGTTAGAGAAAGCATCTGAAATTAAACTAGGCAAGATGAGAAAGGGGCACTGTGGGGGGGGCTTTTATTTGTGTAGGTTTTTTAAAAGTCTGTATTGACTCCTTGCTGCAGCCCTTTTAAATTGTAGGATGGGTGTTACAGTAGAGAGAGGCCTTAGCTTTCAAGTAGTTAGTTCTGTACCTTTGATCTTGTGAATGACACTGAAAGTGTCAAAGTGAGCTGAATGTGGATGGCACATGGCACCGCTTACAAAACTTTAAATAGGATCGTAAAAGCGCATTTCATTCCATGGAGATAATCTCATTTTATGTAAATGTTTTATCTGTGACATTTGTAGCCTTAAACACATTTAGACCTAATCCACTGCATTATCGTAATAAAATGTGAATGTGTTTAAGTACAATAGTTCTTCAAGTCACTCTGAGTCTGTAATTCAGAACAATTCCTTTGGAAACTATTATAGTAATCATTCAGGAAGATGAGAACTTGGCCTAAGCAGTTACAGACAAGAAATTTATACCCCAGAATCATTTGGAAAAAGACCCTTTTGCAGATTATGTTGTCAGTAATGCAGAATTAATTGCTCCTGACCTTGTAACAACCTTTTAATTTAGTCTACCAGTGACTTACAAATAAAGTTATTAAACCCACAAATCGAGTAACATTATAGCTTATCTACCTGGTCTGTTGCCCAAATAAACTAGTAATGTTGAAGGGCCGACCTAAGCTTTTTCTTTTATAAATAGATACAATTTGTCACTGTGTCTGAAAGGTAAACTCAGCATGTCCACCCTCCTAGTAACAGTTCATAATGCTAGATTTTATTTTTATTTCAAGAATATCAGTTTGGAAATGAACTTTTTTTTTTTTTTAACATTTTAGTAGAGCTTTTAATGTGTGGTATGGCTTTCTAGCCTCAAAAAAATTTTTTTTCCCCCTTACTAGAGAATTCATAGGAACTAAATTCTCCCTGTATGTGACTTCAGATAAAGACGAACTCACCCTCATGGACTATCATATTTGTTCCCATTCAGGTTTTTTCCCTTTAAAAATGTCCTTGCTTGGTATCCATGTTTGCTTTTTTCCCATGATGATGGTAGGGTGTCCTATAAAAATTATTTTTTAGTGCATTTGCTTTGTTTGAACCTATTGTTTCAGAGTTTGAAAGTGGAATTTGTAATAATAAATTCTGATTGGCTGTTTAGGAAGTGAAAAAAATCACTTTTCTATCCCTAAACAAGATTTTTTATTTTTTATAGTGACATTAAGACACCACACTCCCCTACTTAAAAATAAGAGATAGGGTAGATAAATTATTTTTACATAGTTTATTATTTTGTCATCACCATCCCGGGTACAGTTCTCAACTTTAATTCTCTTTGTGCCTGTTCTGTGTTACAAGCATTTTGACAGTGTTTATATACTAAACAGTGTAAGATTTAAATCCTCAGTGTAAGATTGGGATTGGATATAATAAGTTGTTCTGGTGCTGATGCTGTGCTCTTTAATATGAATGCTAAATTTAACTAAAAACATTTACTTCCAAATTTTTGGGTGATAGAGACTTTTCTGTTAAATAATTGTTAAAAACACCTAAGGTACTGTTGGATTTTAGATGATAACCTTGTATGTATGCTCTAGTTTAAAGACTGTAACGTCCTCCCCTCAGAACAGGAAGGCTTAAAAAACAAAAAACACCCAGGAAAGGCTTAGTATTCTAACAAAGTATCTAGTTGTGTTACATCTTTGTTTCCTCTTACAAGGTGTTTTCTTTTCTTTTTTTTTTTTTTGGTTCTTTGGTTTTTTTTGGTAATAGCATTGACTCAAATGAAAATGGACTTTTTCTCGTAACAGTACTATTAATGTTGACATTGACGTGAATTACTGAAGAGGGGTTTATTTTCACTAACGTATGAAGAATAGGGCTTAATATGATATGGGAAGACACAGGCTATCCTTTAAAGATAAGAATTTCAGTATATTTTGTGATTTGTTGCAAACTTCTTAATATACCAGAGAGTTGGAATATTGTTTGTAGTTTTCCTGGAGGAAGGAACGTTCAGAAGCAGCATTCCTGAAAGATGTGATAGTTGGGAGAAAAATTACTTACTTAATCTGTAAATCTGGTAAAACTCCCAAATAAGCAGTGTTTCTGCCAGTTGTTTGCCTAGCACAGAGTTACATGATAATGCAGTATGCTGTTTGGTTAACTCTTAAAAATAATTCTTTGTCAAAGATTTTTTTCCTTAGGAAAATAGTGATTTTTAGCAATAGGGATGTAGTGTTTTAAGATCTTTTTTAATAGTGTTAATTAGTGTTTTGGTTCCCCAAAGTATGTTTTCAAATGTTCAGTGGAAAGATTTTTTCTTTGTGAAATTTGTTAATTACTGAATTTTAAGTTGAACATAACCAAATGACTTAGGTTAAATAGCCTTCCCCTTCCCTCAGTTTACTAAGTTTTGTGCAAAAGTAAATAAAGGAAAAGATGAGAAAAAAGATAAATTTTAACCTTTGTCAGAAGTAATGTGATAGAGGACTCTTTGCTTTTGAGTGAATTTCAAAATGAGCAGTGTACATAAAACCTTAGATTGGAACTGGATTTTGAAATATTGCCACTTGCAGAGTGCCTTCAAGTTTAGGTGGTAGTAAATTCAGAAATGTGTAATTTTCTCTGGTATGCATTCTAAAATCTTTTTATTTTTAAAAGTAAACTTAATTTTAAAAGTTAGAGATTTACAGAATTATTGCAAAGATAGTACAGAGAATTCCCATATACATCATAACCTATTAATTTCTTCTGTCATTTTGGGACATTTA